AGGGGATCGTTGTTGTACACAGATGCCACAATAAAAGCCTCATTCAGCTTGTGTTCCTGGTAGCCCTCACAGCGTGGCATTAATAAAACATTAGTATTGAGTGACTGGGGCCTCTGCTCTCCTCCTCCCTGATCCCACCCTGACCTTTCCATTTTACAGCAGCTGTCTGGGGATGCAGAGAGCCCACTGAGGACTCCGCCTGTGGCCCCTGACCTCTCCAGGTGTACCCTTATCACACAGAGCCGCGCTCACCTCACAAGGGCTTCCTCTGAAGCCGTTAATAGAACACTGCTTGTGTTTGATTTTCTTGGAGCGGACAGGGGTGACGAGAAGGAGGAGGGAGGACTTAGAAAACAGGGGCTCAAGCGTTGATAACAGTCATCTTTACGGCTGTTATAGTTCAGTGGTTTAAAAGGAGAGAGAGACTGTTCTGAACTTTGCACAGGGATCTCCGGTTACATCCTGTCTGCCTGTAGTCTGGCACCAACAACTGACCAGATTACACCATGATGCTGCTATTTTGCTTACAATCTCCAAAACACACTCTGAATATCCAATTTAAAGCTTAACTGCCAACTGTAAAGACTGTACAGGCAATACTCAAAATATCAATTAAATCTGTATTTAGTTTTTCATGTTTTTAGCCTTAAAGGTTTTTTACTTTCTCCTGCCTGAACCATAAAAAATGCAAACCATAATGCTTTAACATTTACAAATACTTTTCCATCAACAGTGGGTTCTGGCTTGGGCTCGCAGTCTGTGGTTAGTCACATCTGGTGGAAATGCACTGGGGCTACAATCTATAGTAGGTGGTGACAAAAAGAGCAGAGAGGCTGGTAATCCCATACAGGCCACGGAAACTGCCAGGCCTCAACCACAAGGCAACATAAACAAATCTTTACTAATGGGGGAACGTAGGCCACACATTCATTCCACCCAAATTAGAGTAAGGATGACTTGCTTTTTAAAGGACAGGCAATGCCAACAATGTGACTGCCTCCGTGTATGTATGTGTGTGACAGAGACAGAATAGTAGGAGTGGATAACGAGCGGTTTCACAACTGCGTAAAAACTCACAATACTACTAGTATAGTGAATACTTGAACAGCTGACTGGTGGTTTTTGGCCCCATCGTGGACATGAAAGGAAGACACACACACGCAATTATTTTTCCCTCTGACCGCAGCTGAAAGTTGACAACCTCACGAGCAAAGTATTTTTAGGCAGGCGTTAGTCTCGGCTGCCAAACTGTGCAAAATATAGCTTTACTTCTCTCGGTCTTACTCGCTCCACACCATCCTCCTCCTCTCCATACAAACACACACATATATATATAAATAAATAAAAGTGTGTGTGTTTCTGTGTACTGCTCCGTGTCACTTTGTTGCTCCCTAAATGTTTTGCCACTTCACTTCTCTCTTGCCCCCCCGACTTGGGGGTGAACTTAACAAGCTGGAAAGCTGAGCGGGATGGTAGCTACTGTAACTGAAAGAGTTTATAAGGATGAGGCGCCTTGAACTTTCATAGCCAGTCTGTCTGTCTCCATCCCGGCCCAAGAACTTAGGCTACCATGGAGACAGCGGCCCACACCAGCAGCCTCATAATGCTAAGCCCCCAGCTTCAGTATATCCAGCTGTTTACTGTGACAGAAGACATAAGCAGGCCCACTCACACAGCCAGTGTAAAGGGAGCCTCCTGGATGTATAGAGGAGTGTCATGTATCCTAACTCCAGTCACAGAAACTAACCAATCTGCCACACTCAAAATAACCCTATATGGAATAATATTTTCTTGAGTTACACCGCTTGGTAACAACTTACTGTAAACTTGATTTGACTGTTAAGCTAAAAAAGATGCATACAATAGATGTCACCAGCCAGATATTTCATATTAGTACATATGAATATAGTTCACATTTATCCGCTGTATTCCTTTCAAAACAACTAGCCTGCTGGTTATGTTTCCTTGGATTGAGCCAGGATAGCTGTCCCCCCCCTCCATGTCCAGTCCTTTGTGCTAAGCTAAGATAACTGGCTGTAGCCTTATATTGAAAAGAGAGATGTGAGGTTGGTATCAACCTTCTCACCTAACTCTCACCAAGAAGTCGATTAACTGCAAATGTGGGAATTTGTATGCATTGATGAAAGACTGGAGTTTAAAGGCAAGTGGTCTGCATTATACTATGGAACAAATAGGCCAAAATAATACATTTAGGACAGACATGCTTTGTGAAAGCTCAGTGAATGTTGTCCGTGTAATAAAACGCTGCCTTGTTTTTAATTTTAAAATGTCTCCAATAAAGACAGATCCAACAATAAAAAGATGCAGCAGAGCTTTTTAAAATTAAAATCCAATGCGTCCTGCAGCAATGAACTGTTTTCCCATCAATTGCATCAGTGCTAAAATAAGACCACAGGACAGGTCTCATGTCATGAAATGTAAAACTAGCTCTACCATCACCACCACCATTGTATTTTCTCTTCTTGTTTCATCTACTGGTCCCTCCATCCCTCCTTCCTCACCCTGTGCGAAAAACTGAAAAACACCTCAGGAAAGATTTATCACCACCCATCTACACGAAGCTGTGAAAACTGCCACCTGTCGTTCCTTCAGGCAGTTTAGGCTGAGTGATTATTCACTAATATGGTTTGTTACATTTCAATCAGTCATATATTCATAACCTTGAGATGGATCCCCCCTCCCCTCATGAATTCCTTATAAGATTACTGATCTGATCTTTTTCACTTTGACCAGAATAATGTATCCTGGCTTCTGTCAGCACATATGGAATGGGTTTTAATTATCTTTTTATCCTCCAAAGCACTAAAGTGCTATATGGATAATGAATTATTTTTGTTCTGAAATTAACTGATGGGCTTATATTGATTGAAGTGTATAGTGGACTTCTGGGAAAATGTTGTTGTTTTTAATCATATGAAAAGGTTGAGATCTTGGTGTTTCGCAATAAACTAATAAAGGGTATGTTTTGTCTTATCTAAAGAGTCACACCACCTTTTATAACTTACGACTGTTCTGAGGTACTGACCTATGTTAGGCAGTCAGTTAGCACCCGGGGCTGTCCACACAGAGCACCCTGCCTGCTTGCCTTGCCGGCCCTACAAGCACAGACCTGATCCCTGCCTCTCCACCTCACTCCTGTCAGTGACAGAGGTCTTGTGTTTTAGCTCTTGCTCTGTAATCACCAGCACCGCTGACATTCCTCCTGCTCTCCAAACCAGGACTTCACCATGTTTATCCAACACCCAGCCGTCGCAGCAGCTAGATAATGTGTAACTGTAACCACTAGCAACCCTGAAAACAGCTAGGGGTTTCAAAACTGGCCTTGTCCGGTTCAAACTGACATTCACCTGGGTCTGTTATGTAACAATTTTGTTTTATCTGAAGATACTTTTACTTACATGAATCCATATATTATCTGACAATACAGGGGAGACTATGAATAGCACATGTAATTGGCATCTTGTTTGTTTGTGTCAGTTTAAGGAAGCTACAATTACTCACCGTTGAAACCTCAAAGAGTCTCTCTCTACGCTGAGAGGTACTTCCATGTGCTGACGAAGGCAGTGGGAATGAGTGAGTAGGGCACACTGGTCACACTGTCCCAAGAGTCCGACGACGGATCGTAACAGTCTAGTGTCTTACACCTCTGAGCCCCGAAGTACCCCCCAACCACATATAGTCTGTTTCCTGACGCCACTGCATGACAGCTGATCCGTTTGGCTGTCACGTCACCAAACTTTGACCACTGATACGTCTCGCTGTTGAACCGGTAAGCAGAGCTGGCTGAGAACTCAGTATCGCCTCCGATCACCACAACATGGTTGCCAACTACAGCCGCTGCAGTGTAGCGCCACAGCTGCGGACAAGCGGCCGGCACAGACCACCGATTCTGGCATGGGTCAAAGCACTGCACCTTGGGGTATTTGTCTCTGTTTACACTGGTGCCCCCAAAGGCAAACAGTTTGTTTTTGGCACCGACGACAGCAGCGTTGCTCACCCCTTCTCTGAGCGGAGCCACCAGGGTCCACTTGTTGGTCTGAGGGTCGTACTGTTCCACCTGTTTGAGAGACACAGATGGAGATGCAGGGAAGGACCCCGCGAGAGAAGTGTGTCCTCCCACAACAAAGAGCATGTGGTCGAGCTCCGCAGACCCATGTCCGAACCTGGCTACCAACATAGGTGCAGCCTTGGACCACTCGTCGTGTAATGTGTCGTAGACCCAGACGTCTTTGGAGGCCCCGTTTTCAGAGCCACGCCCTCCAGTAACATAAACCTGAGACACATGGAGAGAAATCAAATTTTGAGTACATCTTAATAACAGTACATAAAAATGCACATATTCAAGTGTAGATCACATACGTACTTTGCAACCAATAGCACAGGCGCTGCATTCTTTCCTGGGGCTGGGGATGTCTGTTTTGGGGGTTATCTCCTTAGTCTTGTTGTCGATCACGTACACTTTATCACACATGAAAGTCTGTCCTCCCAGCAGCAGCAGGGCCTGGCTGACCTTCCTTGGCCGGGCGCAGAACCCCGTTACAATACCGTCATTTTGGAGGATCCTCATTTTGCACCTTACAGCATCTTCAACAATCTCCCGTCCCACTTTGTGGCACATCACCAGCTCCTCCGAAGCAACGTTCTTCAGCAGGTATGTTTCAGGGAGCAGCGCCAGTCGGACACAACGCAGCAGCTCAGGCAGCTCGCTGTGCCTGTGCTCCATGTCGGCCTTGACCCAGTCGATAACAGCCTCGTACACCAGGCTCTCATCCTCCACCTCCAGTTCCTCACTGAGGATCAGCTCCTGGACTTTGTCTCTGGGCAGGTTAAGGAAGTCCTCTGTCTTGAAAAGAGTAGCAAAGTCTGCCAGGCACATCCTCCACGACAGCTCGTACAGTCTCTGACACTGATGGGCGTCTGACAGCAGCATCATCCCCAGACAGTTCGACTGGTGGAGGTTCTTTTCTAGAAACTCTGCCGCTGCGTCCCTGATGTCGTGAAACTGAAGCATGTCACCGGCTTCCAGGAGCGACTCTGCATTTTCCTCGTTGATGATGACCCGAGCAGAGTAGGCGTAGTCGAGCAAGAGCTCCAGAACCTCTGGATGGAGAGAGTCGTGGAAGTTGACTTCGGCGTCGCGGCTCTCCCTGAGCCCGCCACTGAACATGGCCTCAAAGTATCGGCTACAGGAAGCCAGGACGGCCCGGTGGCAGGGGAAGGATCTGTTTCCGGCCTTCAGGATAACATCTGTGAAGACCTTTCGTTTACGCAGCAGGTTGAGCTGAGTCAACAGGCTGTCGGCGTGGGAAGTCTTGTGGAAGAGCTGGATATTCATGGAGCCGGAACTAGAGCGAGACTTTCTGTTTTCGTGGTTACTGACCGACATCTTGACTTGGACCTGGAGATGGAAGTATAGTATAAAAAAATATAAGCATGCATGGAAAGTGCCACTTCTTTACATTTGTTTAAATCAAAGTTTGGCAGGAGGAAGAGATTTCATGAAGGGAATGCTTTTGATGTGAACAATGTCATACACACTCCACCCATTTTATGATTAAACCAAACTCACCATGCCAACAGCTGATAAATGGCCTGTTCAAAAATAAAATACTCCTATCAGTGCGCTGCATTACCACGGAAATGAACTTTGGACTTTAGAGATGAAAGAAGATCAGATAATGAGCACTCCCACAGAAAACCAGTGTGTGTGTGACACTTTTAAAGTATAAAGCACACATCGGTGTCAAGACACAAATGAGCTACATTAACTGGCTTTTAATGCAACCTTCCTTCTGTAATTAATGACAGCAGAAGCAGCAGCACCTGGATGTGTCGTCCTATATCACGTCCCACCACTATAAACATGTCAGGGCTCTGAGTCACCTCCAACCACAAACAGAGCCAAGACATTCCTGCCAGCTTATTCTGCTCCTCTGCTGGCTCACATGCAAGATGGAGCCGATCTGAAAACTCTTCTGATCAGGCATGCATCTCACCACAAATCCTCACCAATATTGACTTCACCACCTACAATAAAGTGCAGTTCAGTGTGGGAAGCATCCTGGAGTTGTGAGACAGTCCCCAACAGAGCATGGGTGTTTCTATAAGCCAGGGGAGACGGCAGACGCCAGAGACAGCAGGGACACAGACAGAGCTAAAGACAAAGAGTCTAAATAAGTGGAGACTGCCAGGAAATAATAACAAAAGGACATGTGACTCAAAGTTACCTAGTTTATAAAGATTTTATTCTGCTATATGACAACTTATTTCTCAAAATCTCAGATTACTATTATTTTTTCTAACAGTGACCCTTATCCACTTTTTGGTTTTGATATTCTCTCCTTAATTTTCATCTGACCGTTAACCTTTTGCGTACCAAATAAACACTGACATACTACAGTGGTTATATTTGAATGTTTTGATCAAAATTATTACTAGGGGCATTTCAGTAGTCGCTGGATATTCCTAATTCTATGCCCTTGTGCCAAACTCAAAGCTGCCAAACCCACATGACACCTCAGACCAGCTCCTTGAGGGATAAAAAAGGATTTAACCACTGTGCAACAGATGTAAGAAACCCAAATTTTCCTTTTGATCATCTGTAATGGATTTAAACAGCCATTGCATTCTGGGTGGACATGTTTATGCTGAATTCAAAATAAACTAAATAAATAAATACTTTTTTTTGCATGCTAAATAGAACTTTTATTGAATTTTTTATAAATATAACTAGGCTATGTAATAACGCGCTGAACATTTTCATATTCTTATAAAAAGTTTCCCTTTTGGAACAATGCCACACTGTGTTATTAAAGGCCGTCCACAACTTGAAAACGACCAAATAAATAACTTCCGCTTTAAAGCCTCCATTGTTTCATAGCAGATAAATTTAAATCGGCCATTCAATCCCACTGAAAGGGGGACGGTGGACTTCCGTGGAAGGACTCAGCGTGAAATCCAATTCGATTTGTGCAGTAAATGTGAAACTACGGTCAGCACTTCAGCATGCGCTCAACTTTCCTCCCAAGTTAGCCTGCAAACATCCAGTCTGCTGCCACAATCAGCCGACATCAAAGGATCCGATGTTACATCCTGTAACTAAACTCCTCACATTTCTGAAGCCGGAGAAACGTCAAACAAGCACGTATCTAGGTGACGGATACTTTAGGAGGATTATGCGTCTAAACGTTCACGCTTACCTTTGTAAAGCTGCAAAGCTGATCCGGATCCCTTTATCTCGGCTACAACTCGATCCCGTCGTTGATTCGGATGAAGTTGTGGCACAATTTAGACAAATCCGCCTTCCGAGTTCAAAACTGTATCGCGTCCTGAACTGTAAGGAAACGGTTGAGCCATTTGTTTTCCTTTTGAGTTTTAAAGGCGCAGGAACAATGTAAAAAAAACAACAACAAGAAAGTTAGTAGCTCGGTTTGTCCTCAAAGAGCCACGCAGCCTGCTGGAGAGAAACGAGCAGAACGGAGAGAAAGAGCAGAGGCAGCTGTAGTGTTCACACTGGCTCCTCCTACTCCTCCTGCTATTGTCCAATGGGCTGAAACACAACAGCGAAGGCTTTCTTTATTCCTCCAACTTCAGGGTCAATGCACATCATTATGGTAAAATACCATTCCCATAAGGAGAACAAAAACACCTGTCTCTGTATGTTTCACCTGTCTGCTCAAAGACGAAAATCAAATCTATAGTATAGTATAATAATATTAAAGGCAAAGCAGGTTTATTTGTGTCTTTCAACAAGGCAATCCAAAGTGCATAAGACATAAAAAGACATTAAGACAGGAAATAAAACAAGGTAATATAAAAAGACATATATAAATTTGATTTAAAAAGAATAAAATATAATACCAGATAAAAATAAGATTAAAGAGAGAATAAAAAACGAATAAAGAAAAAAACAGTAACTTGTGAGATTTCAATAAATAACCCCACAATTTAATTTATTAGACTATAAAGAAGTGGCCAAAATAAACATTATAATTCAAAAGAGAGTTGGAGCAGAGTTCATTTTGATTTTGACCAGAAAAAAAAGAAGTTGATGATTTTATCTATCCTGTTGACAGCAGTAATGCTTTCTGTAAATGTTATTGCCAAACATGAAGGCCCAAATGCCATATGTATGTACTGCAGAAAACAAAATGTTGGGGTAGAAATACTGAAGTCTCCACTTATTTATGATTTTGTGGGCCACAATTTAAACATATTGAGTCTAAGAATACTGGAATACTCAATATGTACCTGTTTTTGATAAATGAAAACCACCCCAGGTTGCTAAATAGAAAGAAAATGATAAAACCCTCTGACCTCCGTGCCCTCAGATAAGTTATGGATTTGTACCCCTGAAATTGAGTAGGCAAAAAAAGAGAGTATTCTTGTAGGATTTTCACACAAGTTTACCCGGATATTAGTACAGATAATATAGTCATCTGGAACACTGATCAGCAGCAAACATGGCACAATCTTGGCTCTGCTTGCCAGCTCCACATTAAAGTCCTTCTGAGCACCATGAGATCGTTTGTCCAGCAGAATTCCTGGCATTTTCTGAAGGATTTAAGTACTTCTGAGGTATCAGGATGAGATCGAGGTCAGTCAAGAACCAGCCAAGTCAGCCTGCACATGCAAGGAATTTCATGGGCTGACACAATGCAGAAGCTATGAAAACTGGTGTAAATATATAAGTAGAAGTCAAGAAGATTTCAAGAAATACAGAACAGATTCAAGAATTAAGTCTCTTCTCTGTGCAAGAGTTTTTGTTGGGACATGTCCCAACATGTCTGTGGGTATAATTATTGCCTAATAAAGGCTTGATTCCATTTAGGTGTGCCAGCTCCAGGGCCCCGCTATTGTGCATGCTGGACCTTTGGCTTGCACACTTAAATGGAACAGAGGCATTGTTTATGTAATTAGTTGCACCTGTGTTTTTTATGCTTTAACAAGTGGCAATGTCTGCTGGCTCCGCATAAGTCAGCAAAGAAGACAGAATGATCGTTGGAAATGGAAAATGGACTATCACAGATATACTTGAAAGAGTTAATGGATCAGTGATAGTTTGAATAGTTGAGGTCTCGTTTTTATTCAAACAATAGAGGCTTGTTTGAATACTCCCTCTCAGAATTGACTCTCCGTGCGCATAGCTGACTGATCTTGAACACCACAAACAGCACTACCAGAGTGGATGCCACACTGCTCAGGTTTCCCCTTCCTCCCTCTCTCTTCCTCTTTCTTCCTCTTTTACTGTCACTCAACAGCTGCTTTTGAAGATTAAAAGCTGCTGCTGTTTCTCCACTGTTTGAGTTTGTGTGTATGTGAGCATTTTTCAGTCAGCTTTCCTTTTATCTACAATTTCCTATTGTTTCCTACTACTACTAATCATATCTCAACACTTGAAAGACCTGAAGCAACCACTAACTGTCTTTATGTAACCTCAAAGTTTGACACCATAAACACACATTCTCATAACCATTGTCGCCTGTGCTTGTAGAGGCCTCCCGACTGGGCCAAATGCTTTCATACACACAAGTGTGCCTAAAGGAGATTAAGAATTTAAGAAGATTAGATTAATGAACTCATGATTGTAATCTAGGGTTAATTCATTTTGCTGCACTTTAACCCAACCCTCCCTCCCCCCAGTTCAGCCCAGTGGCTTGAAGCCAAACTGGTCTTATCTGTATGTGTGTGTGTGTGTGTGTTTGAATGTGCTTTGGAGCAAGCATTGTGTAACTGGTCATTAATTACTCTTAGGCAGGCACGCCACTAATCAGACCCCCTGCAATTATTCCTCAATGCCCCCAGCATCGCAACAAGCCACTCACAGAGTGTCTGTTTAGATGACAGTAACCGTCACTTCATTGTTGCCTGTGGACTCACTGTACTGCGTATTTGTTCACTCAAGGCAGGTGGTCTTCTCAGTGAGGTCATGCTGCCTGAAACATAAGGAAAGGGGTCCTTGGAGGGGGTCATCGTCACACCCAAACCTCAACACCAAACAATGCAGAGGTTCTTATGACTTTCTATTTATGTCATTGGCTCCTGCTTTCCACATGCTGTAGTTACCCGGGCAAGTTGTTAAGTTTAGTTTTAATTGAAAGTGTTACTTACTTTCCATCTACACTGGCATTTTGGCAGAGCAATCACACAATAACTACCTTGGAATGAAAGACTGAACATAAATGCAAATTGCATAATTATGCAATGGATAAAGGGAATATGGAATATGCTGATTAACATTACGCTGTGGATTCACTTTTAATTGAATGTTTTTCCGTTCAATTTCCAATACAACCTGTTGTGGAGGATCAGGATGAGATAAATGGTTGCTATGTTGTAAATAAATCTTATTCTCCCCCAGCAATTTATTTATGAATTTTATCATACAAGTCATCCAGCCCAACCAAATAAGACATCCTGAGACACATGACAGTACTATACTGACCCCTCGGACAACCAGCTATTGATCTGCTATGGCAAGCGGTTCTAACATTTATTCCTTAAAACTTGCTAGTCACTATTTAAAAGCTGCTTGCACTTATTTATTAGTTACTAGTAACTATTCCCGTTTTACTAGTAACCATTGATTAGACACTAGTACTTAATTTTTAGTTACTAGTAACTAGTGGAGTAGTGACTTAATTAAATTAGTTAATAGTAACTAAAAAGTAGTTACTAGATCTACTACAATCTATAAACAGAGGATGGATAGGCAACTGTATTAAATCTAAAAACTCAAAATCTAACAATGCGTGCATTAAACAATTTAATGATATGTAGCCTAAAGAAAATGTTATATTTATCCTCGTAGTTATAGGCATCTGTTGGTAGCATGCATACAAACTGGAGCCTAATTCACTACATTAAAGATTTAGACTTCAGTGATTCAGTGGATTATATCTCCACCGTGTGGCAAACATGCGCGCGTGCTCCACGTGTGCTGCTAATTGGGGCGGGTGTGTGACGTGTTGACAAGCCGTCGGTGTCTCTTGAATATTAACACTTTAAATATACCGCGTGGAACATGGGCCTTTCTCATTTCCCAACCTCCTCGATTCCTCTATCCTCAAGGAGTCGAGGAGGAGACGCGGGGAGAGAGGAGACAGAAATCTGGGAAATGAGAAAGGCCCCATGTTTCTGGCAGCGGTGTATTTGTTGTACTGTGAGTCGACGGTGTCCAATCACCAAAAACTACAATTCCCACGTCGAAACAATACGGAAATGACGTTTACAGTCTTCCGCCGCTGTCAAGGGCATCGAAAACTAACATTAGCCAGACCTAGCAGTGGCTGTCCGCACGTGCACTTAAAGAAGATCTATTAAGCTACAGTTTTCAGTAGAAATGGACGGGTACGGCTCAGACTTCTCAGCGGGTGGACCAGGTGGTAAAATAGACCCCAGCACGATCATGGAGCAGGTCAAGGTCCAGATCGCGGTGGCTAACGCACAGGAGCTGCTGCAGGTAACGTTAAATCAGTGGACACAGCTGCTAAAGCTAGCGAGACTAACCCCAAACTTAATACGTCGAAGAGTAACGTTAAATATTTATTTGGGGGTGGTGTGAGCACCTCATTTAATCCTGTCATAACGCTAACGTTACATCACCCCATTAATGAAGTATGACTCAGAGAGGCAGCGGTAGTCATTGACATGCTGTTGACACAATGTAACGTCTAAAAACCCACAGACTCTATAACACAGGTTCATTTGAGACGTCTCGGCTCTTTTCACCTTTAAAACAAATGCTCACCGGGCGATATTGTGAACTCCTTGTAAGTACAAGTCAGCTGACCGTAATACGTGGTAATAAACCGAGCAATTTCTTCATGTTTCAGAGAATGACAGACAAATGCTTCAAGAAGTGCATAGGCAAACCTGGAAGCACGCTGGACAACTCTGAGCAGGTATGCATTGCGCCATAATGAGCTTTAAAGATTGGTTTCAGATGCAAAATGTTTAAAGCTGAATCGATTAATCGGGTTGACAGAAAATCAGTGATAATTTTGACAATCTAATTGTCTTTAAGTCCCATTTCAAATAAAAATCCACTGGTTTTAGCCTCTTGTGAGGATTTTATTACACCACATTACATTTAGCTGACGCTTTTTTTTTTATTTATCCAAAGCCACTTACAGTTGCTATGATATTTAACTAGGTTTTGGACTGTTGTTCAGACAAAACAAGCAAGTTGAATATAAAATGGTAATGGGCATTTTCCCCAATTTTTTGATACGTTTGGACATGATGATTAATCAAGATAGTACTTGGCGGAATCATTTATAATGAAAATAATTGTTAATTGTAATACAGTTTTGGGGTTATTTCTTGTTGTTGAGTGTTAACATCGCTGCTTTTGTCCTCACAGAAATGTATTGCCATGTGTATGGACCGGTATATGGATGCCTGGAACACTGTGTCCCGAACATACAACTCCAGATTACAGAGGGAAAGAGCCCGCATGTGAACACCCCTTTCTTCACCCTTCCCTTCCTCGGGCTGCTACTGAGGAGGAGCACAGTGTGCCACTTGAGGAGGCCAGGAACTGTGCACAGGTGTATCATGGCGGCAGCACACCATCAACTTCTGTCATAATACCTCACAGACAGGCAAGCAGAGCCTGTGGACTGTAGCCATAACAATGTCTCTGTGGACATTTCCATTTTACTCTGAACAGTTCAGTAACAAAGTTTGATATTTTTTTGTGTGAGTGTGTTTTTATGTTATAAATAATGAATCTTCTGGTTAACAAGCAAACATGCATTGAAGAAAAGCTGCAATTTGGACTACATTTCCTATTGGAGAGAACACAAGTGTGGATGTGTTTGTAAGTATGTGCTTGCCCTGTGATTGACTGGCATCCAGGGTGATCCTCGTGTCTGCATTGCATCCCAGGATATGTTTAAGCTTAAATTAGTCAACTGCACCACTTTTGCTTTTGTTTTTTTGGGTAATTATAACAGTATGTGTTCACTACAGTGTGGCTTCAGTAGAACACTGACACCTCCCCGCCATCAAACTAAGGTTGAATTCTTCCTCGTGTTCAAGAGTCTGTATAATTAGGACACATGATACCGATAACTATAAACCGGTCTTAAGTCTCTCACTTACTACATTGCTTCTTAAAACGCAGTCAGCAATGTGCCCACATCGTGTTTATGCTCAGAGAATAAAATAATTATGCTTAGAAAATGAGCAGCACCACCGGAGCCCTTAAGGGACAACACAGGTTTTCCATAACATGCTTTTACCCTAAATAAAGAGACCTACTTAAAATCACAGGGAAGACTTGAGGAGTGACTTGGTGTTTTCACAACTGTGAACCTGACATTCACAAGCCTCCGAACACTCCTATATCAAAGTACGCCTGGAGAACAAAACTGTTTTGTCTGACCTATTTTCTAGTTGTCACTCTATCTGCCGCCCTCCACAGTAGTAGGCTTGTTTCAGCAGGGTCTGCCGGGGTACAGAACCTCTCTCAGCTTGTGTGCGCGGTTTGTCCAATGTCTGGGAACCATAATCTTTTTTTTTTCCCTATCCTGGTGAGGTTATGTAGGGATGCAAGAGCCAGAAAAGCCTACGAACATGATTTGCTGAGTGATTGTGAGCAAATGATTTTTATGGAAGGAAAAAAAAAAAAAAAACAATAAATCTTGTCAGAGTCTTGTGTTTCTCATAATAAAAGTGTATATCCATCAGTGAAACCCCACCAGTAGTTGCCTTTATCAAACTCAAGACAAAAGGTGGATTCCTTTTGTTTTGTTTTTTTTTTTACACAGAAGGTTTTTCCTAGAAACCCTACCTTTCAAGTAACAATTATTACATTGCATCTTTGTCTTATTTTCTTAGAAAAGATACAAAAAAGACAATGAAATGTACCCATAAATGAACCACATATATTCTTAACCCCACACAAAAGAAACAAAAATACACAACACCATGTACATTAAGTTTACCATTTGGGAAATAAATAACTGAAATAAATACTTTAAATCATGCATTTGCTAGCAGAATGTTCATATGCCACAGTTCAGTCCTTATTTCTTCAGTACATTATTAAAGAGGATGGTCCCAGTTCAGATGATTGCACAGTATTAAAAACAGCACCCATGACCAGTAGGTCACACAGGTCAGTACTGTGGAAACTGTGTGTGTGTGTGGCTTTTAGCATGACTTTAGTCCTTGTACAGTACATTTTTCTGGAGAATATGTATCAGGGAATTCCACTGTGTTCTTGCAGTTTTGGATCTGTTTTGTGGGTGCCTCTTCAGAACGGCAGGTATGTTGATATCCATTTCCTGACAGACGTCACACGAGTGTAAACGCCCGGAAACCCACTTCGCCCGCATCCATGTCCCCAACTGGTCACTCCAGCAATAAACCACTGTCCAGAGAGCTGACGGCAGGTCAGTGGCCCACCAGAATCTCCCTGTGTGATACAGGGGATAAAGAACAAAAGAGTGACATTTAATGATTTCTTCGACATTAAAATAACCTCAATGCTCTGAGGTTTCCAGTTTGTAAAGTAGAATAAAACAATTGAGTGAGGAAGCAAAAGAGTAAGTAAGACCCAGCAGGTACAAAGAGAATGTCACTTGGATCGCTGCTGAGATGCCAGGTGCTTTGACCGAGACAGGAATGCATGTGGGTTTCCTTACATAAGAAGATTACAGAGAGGGAGCAGGGGAGAAGGGGGGCTCTGTATTTGTAGGAAAGAAAGTCTACTCTCTCCCATCAGATAAGCATCCTTCATATAAGTGCTTCGATGTTCTCCATCATATTTGCACCATAATTATAATATCTGACCAAGTATTTTCAAACCATAAATTATTCATATGCCTCTACTTTTTCCAAACGGAAGTCCTAGAAAGCTCAAAAGAGAAATGGCAAAATTTACATTGTTCTGACCCGGTTAACCAACCACTGTAAAATCTGAGCCATGGCAGTGATTGCCAGTGCCTCTGCTCACTTGTGTAATCTTTGTCCACAATCTTACCTCTCACACACTGCCAAGACTGTACCAACCAGATGTCCGGCCCATTTCCAGACTGTGTGAAAGGTACTTGTGTCACATAGCATACTCTCCTACATCTTACCAAACAGGTGTCCCTGCCTCCCTCCATGAAACCAGCACACATCATGTTAGGAGTCAGCACGTTTCCATATGACTGTTGGCAGTCAGCCTGGTCAATGGTATTCACTACAGCTTTCTGCAGCAGGTTGGTCAGTGAGCCTGTGCCAAAGAATGATAATCATATTAGTGGGTCTGAATACAATACTTTTTCTGGAAGTTGCTGTTGGATCTTTTTTTTAAATGTCATTTTGCACTACAAACCAAACTCCATTGTTGAGTTTCAGTGGTAGATAAGTCAGAACCTCAACAGATAAAAGTGAAACTATCTGCATGGATACAAACCAAAAGGGTAAGTGAGAAATACTGTGCTTTTTGTAATATGAGCGAATATTTCACAGTGTTTCATATCGAATTATATCATACTGTCAGGTTGATGGGATACTGGAGCTGTATGGGCTTACCTCAGTACAAAAGTCATCCACATCTCTCAACTGAGACACTAGTAACAATTTTCCAGTTTGTTGGAACATATTTGCATCATTATGCAACTGTACAATGCTTTTCAGAAAGCTGTGCCTGACGTCAGTGGGGTTTTAAATCTCACCTCCTTCCCTCATGGATCCCCAGCCTGCGATGTAGCACTCTGCATTCTTAAGGAAGCGGTGCACCGGCGAGGGGAGGCAGACCGACTGGATGGTGTAGGACATGGGGGCGGGGACCGCCAGCTCCAACAGAGCCACGTCATGGTCCATATTGGTGCCGTTGAAGGCTGGGTGGATGATGACCCTCTGGATGGGGATGACCAGGGCTCCTACCCCAGAGCGCAGCACAGATCCCAGGCTCACAGCCCAGTTAGTGGGGCTCGGGTCACTGGGGGTTATAAATGAAGACTGTGTTATAACTTCAGGCCCTGTCTAGTGGTCGACCGAAATAGGATTTTGCAGGGCAGCCAATGGCTGATATATAATGCAGAAACAAAGACAAATCATGTATAATTTCATTATTCCACACAAGAGTACAATCTAATATACATGGTTATCTTGGAAGATGATTTTTTTTATATTTTATATATAAACAAGGCACAAAAAAAGATTATTTCTTTCTTGTAACAATGTTATTTGGCAATACATCTTATTTCACTGGAAAGCCTGATTATTTCCATTTTAATTGGTGCCACATTTGTAAGGAACATGCATTTGTGGGATGAGCAGCAGAGCTGAGAATGTGGGTTGTGCCCATGAAAAATTTGCCAAGTATTCTCTGACAATGCCAAACAGCTATTATTTGCTGTTGACTCTTGTATGTTATATATGAAGTCTTATATATGAAGTGAGTTGCTATGGCAACTGGCAGCGCTTGTAGCAGCAGCAGCAGCAGCCGGTAGCTCCTTCAAACTTTGCTGCTTTATTGCCAAAACATGTGTTACCTCTGACATAAACACAGTCATTGGAAGATGAAGATGTTTTTTGGATTAAAGAGCAGCAGACCACGACCCACCCGGCTCAAACCCCATCAACATCCCGGACCGACCAAGCACTCGGCAGGTGATCCATGTTCTGAGCTGTCAGCGCAAGACTTCGGCAAGATGAGAGGAAGTGGACTCTGTGTTTTACATCGATGCTTAATGCGCAAACGCAGTCAAGATGGATGAAACTTTCATTTTATCATCTTCAGACTGTTTATTGTGAAGATGAAACTTTCATATTATCATTGGGTGCTGCTGTTTACATTCACCCCAGATGCAAATTCAAAAACTGCACGGTGGAATGTTTGCGGTGTATAAGGGTATGTATATATTGTTTTATTTTATGTTACCATATTTTAATGTAGGCCTACACTTAATTAGGCTATGTGTTGTGTGTGTAGCATGAAGGAACTACAAATTTAGTGTCGTTATGCAGCCTTATCCAGCATATTATATATATATATATACATACATATATTTTATTAGATTAGATCTGTGGTCATGTAGGATGGGACAAATGTGTTGAAAAGACACACATATAGCATGAAAAGATGATGGTGACTGAGGAAATTTAGGGCTTGAAACTAAATTTTTACCACCTTCCAAAAATTCACAAGCGGGAGCGCTAACACTGACAAAGTGGTCTGCAGATGTGTCTGCAGATATTTTTTGGTTTATCGGCCTCGTGAATGCAGGTATTGGCTGACCGATTAATCAGTCTGTCACTACCCAGTACCATTCTGGACATGATGGAAGACATGTTTTTGATATAAGAAAAGAATGTGGTGAAGTTTAGTTTCAGAAGAATTCATTTTGAAGGTTGTGTGATTTTTAATGTGCTTAAAATGTGTTTCAAGTGTTTAATTCCAGTAAGTAAACACAGCACCTTTTAAAGCAGTGTGCTGCTGTGAGTAACCATTTGCTGTGAATGAGCGTGGCACCACAACGGTGAAGTCTCTGGTACTGGAGACTGCCAATCCAAGGCCACTCCCCCCGTCGAGCTGTTACTCCACCCACGATCCTATGGGAGCCCAACGCAGGACGTACACCGCAGTCTGAAACAAAAACACACATCAACAGAAGCATTTCCTTTAAATCCAGTATGCACACCACGATACACATGTAATCTTACCACAGTTTCTTTCGTCGGCCTGGTTGGGGCAGTCTGGCACTCCGTCACACTCGGGGTTGACCTTGCTTATGCAGGAGGTGGCGCTACACTGGAAGTTTCCACTGCAGATCAAGACTGGAAGATATGACGGAAAGATCATGTAGCATGAGGGTGCGACTATAAAAATTAATTTGTTGGTTTTGCTTTTTCAGACACACATCCCCACAGACCAGTGACAGGAATACATGAAACACAACAGTCAAAAAAGCTTGCTGTGCGATACTATATTTATGACTGACTTCATTCCATTTCTCCTGGTAAGTGATGAATGACTAATAAATTAAGTTGCCTTCAGTATGACATTACCAGGTAGTGCTGGTGCAGGTGACACATCCATGGCTGTGGTCCTGGGTACTGGTTGGCTATTAAAGCTTCCTTCTGTCACTGTAACTGACATAGTGGGAACATGCTGGAAGTAATCGTGGACCAAGGTGGGATCTGTGTAGCTTATGATCCAGTTGCGGAGCCTGGTGATGCGAGAATAAACCCCAGGTCTGTTGATCTGGGCACAGCCCACACCCCAACTCACCACCCCAGCCAGGAAGAACTTCCCTGGGGCCCCCTCACACACCAGAGGCCCTCCAGAGTCACCCTGCAGGAATAACAGAAGACCTAATTCTATAGGAACAGTTACTCAACACAGTGGTGCTGTACTAGGAAAAACCTTGTTAGTGTCACTTTGGTACTTTTCCTGTTTGGACTAATGCTCAATTTAGTGTTATTTAATTAGTGTTGGTTGATTAGGATGAAGGCACTGTAATTTCCACAATGAATATTTTGACATTTTCTATGAAGGACAAACTGCAAACAAGTGGGACAGAGGTTCAAGTGTCCATAAAAGTGCTTATGGCAATTTTATAAACAGAGCACCAAACCAGGTTCAGGGATGCAAGGAAAACAGAAATATCTGTAGGGAGATAAATTAATTGTCAGAATGAAATCTATCTATTATATATACTTTTTTGCCATGTAATGGGTTATAAGTTGAATCTGAATTGT